TAGCCGTTAACACTGTTAAATTATATATATAAATCATCAAAGAAAGGTAAACACAATGTTCGAATAAAGGACATAATAATACATCGTGTAGCATAGCTCTCAACGAATGTAGTCCTGTAAATAAATGAGTAAAGAAATTGTGTAATAAAATGCCTCTGGCGGGACTCTCGAACCTGCGACCTCTCGACGAGCGTCATAACCATTAGACCACGGAGGCTTCATGGTTAAACAGGTTCATATACAACCAGATACACTCCATTACACAATAAGTAAGAAACAAACAGATGCATATACTGTAATATAAATCAAGCCGTTAACACTGTTAAATTATATACATAAATCATCAAAGAAAGGTAAACACAGTGTTCGAATAAAGGACATAATAAAATATGTAAATACATATACAAAATATATAAAATATAAAATCTTTGATTTTTATGGACAACCATTCTTAATTTTTTCCTGTTATTGTTACATCATAAATTCAATAAATAAGAGTACAGGAGAGGATTATACTACAGTAACATAAACCAACAACTCCCTGCATAAAAACACCATCCCATATATTGTACTGTCACAAATATGTTTAACAGTGAATACCTAATATAATTTTATTTTTTAAATATTATGGATACATGATTAACAGTCCTAGCGAGTTATATCTGCCGACTGTATTACGATAACCACAGAGGTGCGCAACTCTAGGTCTCTAAGCTAAACGGAAAAGCCATTCGCAATAAACGTCCATGGTAGCCTGCAAGGCCCGAAGCCTCCCAACAGTGTAGTAGTAGGCAACATAGGGCTAGGCTATGCCTGATCGTTAGTGATAGGCGTACACGTTACGTTCACCGTCCTTACATCTAGGTCCGAATCCATGTCAAACTGTTGATAGTTGACATTCTAGATTTACTTTTTAATTGTTATTTTAAAATAGAATATAGACCGTTTGCCATCGAAAATATGTGCAAAATATTAAAAAACCGTCGCGATGTAGGCCTAGTCCTCATTTTATCGTTTCTGGTGGTGTAATTTAACTGTTCCCTGGTATGATCATGGTATGATACGACGTCGATCACCATGAGAACACGATGCAGGAAGCATTAGATCGTGTTTACACAATTGCGAGCATGTACAAAGTTGTAATTGTTTATCAGTTGATTACGATAAGAGCGGCGGTACCGGTTATAACCTTTGATGTTCTGTTCGAGATGTTTCCATGTAATTTAACTGTTCCCTGGTAATAGCTAGGCCCAGGTCTACTACCGGGTTTACCGACACCGTACCGGATCATTTGCACGATCCTGCGACGCAAAAAAATATATGTTCAGTATTGGGCGAATATCTCTAGTAGCAAAGAGTATAAATAGAACAAGAGAGCCAACAACGCTCATTGGGAGCGTAAAAAAACGATACGCTCTACGCAGCTAGTGTAGGACGCCAACTAACGCTTGTATGTGTTTTATTACCCAGTACTGCA